CCTTCCTCTTTCTCTTTCTTTCTCTATCTCTCTCTTTCTTTCTTACTTTCTTCTTTCTTTCTTTCTTTCTTTCAGCCATAGGTGCTTTAAATCATTAAACTTTGAACACTATAAAATATCTAAATAATGCTTACTTATTTTTGTAACATTAAGAATACTCCACTTGCCACTTTAATTATAAATAATTACTTCAATTTTAAAATCAAAGAAGATAATGAATTATGTAGAATTGTGAAAACAATTGAGAGTGCTCACTGCATTATTTTGTTAGAGCGGTCATAACAAAGTACCATAGACTGGATGGCTTAACTTGTTTTCTCACAGTAGTAGATGCCAAAAGTCAAAGATTGGCAGACATGTTTTCTTCTGAGATCGATTTGATTTGGCCACAGACTGCTATCTTCTTCCTGTGTCTTTACATTGTCATTGCTCAGTATATATCTGTGTGTAAATATTCTCCTCTTGAAAGCAGACCAGTCACGTTGGATTAGGATGCATCCTACTGACCTTATTTAACCTTAATTGTGTACTTCTCTAAATATATTGTCTTCAAATATAGATACTCTGTGATACTGAGGGTTAGGACTTCAACATATGAATGTGGTGGGATTGGGTGGGCACAATTCAGCTCATAAAACTCACTAAGTTTTAATTAGGGCATGGCCTATTGAGCATTATACTGTTAATTTAGTTTTTATGTTTGGAAAACATTTTGAAACATGATTTTTATTTATATTTTCATTATTTATATTTTCATTACGTTTAGGGTTGCTTGGAGACAAATGAAGAAAAAAGAGTTCTGCATTAGGCAGGGATGTCAGTATATAAGGAATTTCAAAGATATCAATGATAATGGCAAAAACTGCTCATAAATTAAATTAAGAGCTTAATTAAACTGAGGAAAAAAAACATATTGCCAAATTACATGCTGTTGTTTTGTAACATTTGTCCACTTGCTATGCTTGGGATTTCCAAAGCACATTCCTCTACTAAGGGTATTATCAGATGATTAAATATGCATAGAATGAGTACGTTTTAGAAGGCTATGTTAACTGATGTAGTGGGACTACAGTAGTATGTGTAAGTGAGATTTTGAAAATTTGCTATGGCAGCAAGTTCAAAGAAGTGTTGAATTTGCAAGTTTGTGCACATATTCTGAGAATCCAGGCAGCCATTTCTCCTTTTGAATTGTTCCCTTGGCTAGGGGGTAAGGCTGAGACACAATACACATTTGAATGTGTTACTTTGTAAATTATCATTGCAATACTAACAGTGTATGTTGAAAAACTGGTAATTTTATGTATTAATATTATCTACCATGAAAACACAATTAAAATTTTAAAATATTACATAAATAAAATAAAGCTCAAATACCACTAGCCAGAAAAAAAATTTGGATATTATAGTCTGGGGTCAGAAGATAAAAAACTTATGTAAAGTGCCAAAATTAATTTTTATTTCAATTTAAATGCATCATCGTAACATGGTTTCATAACTGAAATTGCATTTGTCAGAATTTGATATTTTCATTATTAAAGAATCGAGGGAAAACTGATGGTTATCATAGTGATATGCAATGTAAAAAAACTTTTTTTCATTGTTATAGGAAAGAATTGCTCAGAAATAATTGGCCAGTGTCAACCACATGTCTGTTTCCATGGAAACTGCAGCAATATTACTTCAAATAATTTCATTTGTGAATGTGATGAACAATTTTCAGGTAAAAAATGCATATATATACATACATATACACAAATAACTTTAATTTTGTCTATGTATTTCAAATTAAATGTGAAATATTTCATTTCTTTTTGAAAAATACAATTTGAGAAGTTATATATACTGAATACTTTTATGGTAAAGTTTAATAAATCAATTTGGCTAATACAATTAAATCATACTGCTGCTAAATGTTTTATAGCATAAGAAGAGTTTGACCAACAGTTCATATGCTTTTCACCATAAAATGACTTACATCTTTCTTCAAACTTGTATTTATGACCAATGAATTTGAAATTGTTCATGTCCTTATTTGGCACTTCTTGACCATGAAATTTTAGATTATGGACATTTTCACTGGACACATGTTGAGGTTTCTGTTAATTTCTTAAAAAAAAGTCTGCTAAAGGAAGATATTATTAAATCTCTTTTTGATATACAATATGCAGATAAAATATATATATTTTTAAATTATACTTTAAGTTGTGGGTTACATGTGAAGAATGTGCAATTTTGTTACATAGGTATGCATGTGCCATGGTGGTTTGCTCACCCATCAACCCATCACCTATATTAGGTATTTCTCCTAATGCAATCCCTCCCCTAACCCCTGACCCCCGACAGGCCCCAGTGTGTGATGTTCCCCTCCCTGTGTCCATGTGTTCTCATTGTTCACCTCTCACTTATGACTGAGAACATCCAGCATTTGGTTTTCTGATCTTGTGATAGTTTGCTGAGATTGATGGTTTCCAACTTCATCCATGTCCCTGCAAAGGACATGAAATCATCCTGTTTATTTTTTTTTTATTTTTTTTTTTATGGCTGCATAGCATTCCATGGTGTATATGTGCTACATTTTCTTAATCCAGTCTATCACTGATGGACATTTGGGTTGGTTCCAAGTCTTTGCTATTATGAACTGTGCTGCAGTAAACATTCATGTGTATGTATCTTCATCGTAGGATGATTTATAATCCTGTGGGTATATGTTCAGTAATGGGATTGCTGAGTCAAATGGTATTTCTAGTTCTACATCCTTGAGGAATCACCACACTGTCTTCCACAATGGTTGAACTAATTTACACTCCCACAAACAGTGTAAAAGCATTCCTACTTTTCCACAACCTCTCTAGCATCTGTTGTTTCCTGACTTTTTAATGATCACCATTCTAAATGGCATAAGATGGTATCTCATTGTGGTTTTGATTTGCATTTGTCTAATGACCAGTGATGATGAGCATGTTTTCGTATGTCTGTTGGCTGCATAAATGTATTCTTTTGAGAAATGTCTATTCATATCCTTTGCCCATTTCTTGATGGGGTTGCTTGCTTTTTTCTTGTAAATTTGTAAGTTATTTATAGGTTTTGGATATTAGCCCTTTGTCAGATGGATAGATTGCAAAATTTTTCTCCCTTTCTGTAGGTTGCCTGTTCACTCTGATGACAATTTCTTTTGCTGTGCAGAAGCTCTTTAGTTTAGTTAGATTCCATTTGTCAATTTTGGCTTTTGTTGCCATTGCTTTTGGTGTTTTAGACGTGAGGTATTTGCCTGTGCCTATGCCTGAATGGTATTCTTCTAGGTTTTTGCTCAAGTTTTCTTCTAGGATTTTTATGATCTTAGGTCTTATGTTTAAGTCTTTGATCCATCTTGAGTTGATTTTTGTGTAAGCCGCGAGGATGGGGTTCAGTTTCAGTTTTCAGCATATGGCTAGTCAGTTTTCCCAACACCATTTATAAAATAGGGAATCTTTTCCCCATTGCTTTTTTGTGTCAGGTTTGTTGAAGATCAGATGGTGATAGATGTGCAGTGTTATTTCTGAGGTCTCCGTTCTGTTCCATTGGTCTATATATCCGTCTTGGTACTAGTGCCATGCTGTTCTGGTTACTGGAGCCTTGTAGTAAAATTTGAAGTTAGGTAGCTTGATGCCTCCCGCTTTGTTCTTCTTGCCCAGGATTGTCCTGGCTATGTGGGCTCTTTTTTGGTTCCATATGAAGTTTATAGTAGATTTTTCTAATTCTGTGAAGAAAGTCAGTGGTAGCTTGATGGGGATAACACTGAATCTATACTTTGGGCAGTAAGGCCATTTTCACGATATTGGTTCTTCCGATCCATGAGCATGGAATGGTTTTTCATTTGTTTGTGCCCTCTCTTATTTCATTGAGCAGTGGTTTATAGTTCTCCTTGAGGAGTTCCTTCACAAAATGAAGGCAGAAATAAAGATGTCCTTTGAAACCAGTAAGAACAAAGACACAGCATACCAGCATCGCTGGGACACATTTAAAGCAGTGTATAGAGGGAAATTTATAGCAGTAAATGGCCACAAGAGAAAGCAGGAAAGATCTAAAATCGACACCCTAACATCACAATTAAAAGACCTAGAGAAGCAAGAGCAAACACATTCAAAAGCTAGCAGAAGACAAGAAATAACTAAAATCAGAGCAGAACTGAAGGAGATAGAGACACAAAAAACCCTTCAAAAAATCAGTGAATGCAGGAGCTGTTTTTTTGAAAAGATCAAGAAAATTGATAGACCGCTAACCAGACTACTAAAGAAGAAAAGAGAGAAGAATTAAATAGATGAAATAAAACAGGATAAAGGGGATGTCACCACCGATCTCACAGAAATGCAAACTACTATCAGAGAATACTATAAACATCTCCATGCAAATAA